GTGAAAAGTCTAATAACCCGTAAGTTACCATATGTCGAAGAAGATGTTTTGCAAGCACATATTCTATACCATGTCAAATCACGGCAAAAAGCTAAGAACCCAGTTTAAGAGCATAACGATTATAAACTACCAAAAATCTAAATGCTATTCTTTCTTCTCCTTTTTAGAACAGGATAATTCTCTATGCCGTTGGAAAGCAAATTGTTCTTGGAAAATCACTTATTTTGCTTCAGGGCTATCGAATCACAACCAAGTTTAACACAAAATTGTGACTACATCAGAGCTTTTGTACAAAAGTGATTTCATTTCTCTCTCAGGTACATGCGAATTGTTACAGATTCCCAATTAGAGATCTCGGAACCATCATTGTGAAATTTTCAGAATCAGAACCAAGGCGAAGATCGCGATTAGAGCGAAACAACTTACACCCCCTAACTGTAATTTAAGATATGCCACTTTTACCAGATTGTAGAATTTTTTCACAATCTACCAAGGACATGTTGTAGAATCTATAAACGTTTGATGACGAAACACATTAAGACATTTTTTAGAGAGACCGAACAAAATTCAAGAAGATCAATTTATAAAATCACCATGATTAGCAAACACAAATATAAGCTTAACTGTTAATTCTTTAGTTTATCTCTAAGTCTTGAAAACAAGAAGAAAAAAAGCATCACTTATGCCTTTTTCTGTCTTTGGGATTGATGGTCTTGGTAAGGATTATCCGAAGGAGCAAACCAGAGACCCAACAAGATGATAAAGTGTAGACACATTAGCAAACCAGACGAGACTGGTGTTGATGGATACACGTTCCAGCAGATCTCAATACCGAGGAACAAGATCACGCTTTTCCAGTCAATAGCAAAAACAACAAGACGAATTAGAGGTTAAGGGGTTTTTTTAACTGTGGTTAAAGGTAAAGAATGCAGAGTATGATTTACCGCAGCCAAGAGGGAAACATTGTTCTCCATAGCAGAAAAGGTAGCGAATAGAAGTACCTGTTATGACCATATAAGTATTGGGTTAATGCAAGAAAAATGAAGATGAAATCATGGCTTTTTTGTTTTTTGGTTACCATGAGTAGAATTGGTAGTGCAGAGAGCGGGCACATACAATGCCGATGAAATCCCCAACAAACATGGTTGTGACAATATCTGCGAACCAGTGGAATGCCAGTTAGTACGGAGTACGGACATGCACAGATATATGCTAAAAACAATAAAACCATTTCTTTCATAAGAATCATCCATGAGGTTGACTCACAAACTAAACCCAATTTCTTAAGTATGGAAATACATGCTAAAAGACATTAAAAGCTTACGTTCTTTCGTAAGAATCCGTGAGGCTGAGAAATCACCCAATGAGGGTTTAGACGGGAGTGTCAAAAAGAAATGCCTAGAACGCATGAAGCCTATAATCCCGCCTTCATGCCTATGACAGTCAACATATTCGTTATATCCGATGCTAAACACACAAGAAATGAACTATGGTAGTAAAAAATCCAGCTGCTTTATGAGAAATGATTTTGTGCTTGTATGAGAAAACAACTCGTAACTGTACTTACTTGCACCATTTATAGTTTGCAAACACCGCAAGGAGACAAAGGTGAGCAATGAGCAAGCATACTGCAAATTCTTTGGACACAAAAACTCGTTCTGGAACAAATTTGAAGTTGACAGACCTGTTGAGAGCTCAAACTAGAGTTAGAGCTCAGATTCAGATCCCATTAGCATTTATATTAGATTTAGCAAGAGAGGAGAGAACAATACCAGAAGTGAATAAAGACACGACCAAGATCAAAGGCGTTTGCTATGTATGAAACCGGATATGTTATCAGAAAGGGCAATCCCACGAGTATCTGTATAACCATTCATTCACCAGTTGAGTGGTACTTCTTGATTTATCAAAATTACAATTCGCTGGAAACTGCAACTCACCTATTTACATTCAATAAACAGTCAACAAATCTCCAGCTTTCCATGGAGAAAAAATACTACACATAAAAATTGGTGAATAATGGACTATTAAGAGTATAAGTAAAACCTGAACAAGAGCTGCACCAGCTAAAGCAGATACCACTCCAATTATATTCATGGCCTGTGAATAGTAAAAAGTCACACATGAAGAATCAGTGCTAGAAAAATAATAAAAGCAAAACGATATATTAATTCTCTTCCTCGGACATATATACCTTTAATAGCAGTAGTAACAAAGGCGGAGCATACAAAAGAACATTCATCTTTATAGAAACAGCACCGCTGTATCAAAAAGAGTAAACAGACTAATCAATCACAACGATTGAAAAGAAACAGATATTGATAGCAAAAGCGACCACCTTACCTAAAAGCAACCATCCCGATGTGCCATTTACGATAGAGAAAGAGAGCCATTGACGCATGTAGGAGAGTCATAGCAAAACAATCATTAAAGAGACGGAGAACAAAAATTGAGTGTATTCTCTTGGATAAACACAAGAGGCTTAACGCCCACCATGGCACCTGTAATACGTAATACAAGGAGACATATTATCGCTGCTTCGGCAGAATATATATATATATATGTGTCCTACAATGAATGGGAAAATCAACACCAAAAGAATCTTTCATTAACATCGTAAATGGGACAAGGATAGTCTCCGGGAAGAAGTCTACACAACCGTGATGAAAAGAAATAAGGCTTCATATATACCACATCTGTCTTCACATAGATGAACAAGACGATCGCCAAATTGACAATGTAGAGAACACCAAAAAGAATCTGCAACATGTATGAGACTAAAATTGAGAAAAATTAAGCAATATGTCAAGGTCGACAGCTAATCACAAGCCCGGAAAGAGAACCAAATCCAAATATAAGTGATTCAAAAGAGAGGCAGTTCCAAGTACCTGAGCTGGATAGACTTCCCCTCCAGTTAAGTTCTGCACTAGAGAGTAAACATAGAGGAAACCAGCAGGATAAACCAATGGCCCTGTATCGCCTTTCAAGTTCCCATAGTCTCTCTCTCCCCCGAGAAACCCACTTACCTGTTCCAATTAGAAAAACACCAAACTTTCACTAAAAGACGACTCATTTGAAGAAACCCACTTGACCATTGACTTCTTCTATATTACTGGTTTCGACTGCACGAACCTGTGACATGTAAGCATCCCAATCGATCTTCGTATCTGTTCAGCAAATGACGAAATTAGGTTAAAACCATCTCCAATGCACATTTCGAGCTACCCAGAAGCGAAAATGTAGGAAATTAGATCTCACATGGAACATAGACGATAATAAGTGCGACGAGGATTGCATCGGCGAGAATTAGCGCGATCGCGAACGGAATTTTCGGGTTTTTGAATAGATCGGAGCGATTCGTCTCCTTCCCATGTCGACGGCTACGAGAAGCTCTCCGACTCGTGTTCATATCCGCCGGTGATGATGCGCTCGCCATGAAACCAGAACGAATCACATCAATACCGGTTACGTACGCCGCGAAACAGACAAGTACACCTATATATTTAATAAAGTAAGCCCATAATAAATCCCAATTCAAGTTGCTATTGGGCTTTTTCGTTTAAGTCGGTGTAAAGCCCAATAACTAAGCGTCGTAATCGTCCAAGGAACCGTGTATGCATCAGATATGAGCATACAATAAGAGCACGTGTCCACACTTTTTCGCAAAGTCGATTAATAATATCCAAAACCAAATAAATTTACATTCCACGTGTACACATCTCTGTCAACTACTCACCTTGTTTCTCGCCACGTGTCTCTCAAACACCAGAGCCTTCACTCTAGGCTTCTTTGTTATAAGCTTCATCTCCTGATTAATCTCTTTGCCAAGC